CTCGTCGCCGCAGCTCGCCAAGGAGCTCTCCGAGGCTTGGGCGGTGCATGGCTTGACCTTCAAGAGGGTACTTCAGGCGAGGAACCTCGGCACCGACGCCAACATCACTCGTCGTGGAGTGCATGAAGGAGCTGTGCGTGCGGTCGGCGGCCTTCGGCGAGGACGCAGGCTAGGGGTGCTTCGCTCAGCTGGCGCGGCGACTGAGATGGTCCACCGTGCTGGGCCCACCGCGGCGATGCTGTGGGGGCGCACTGTTACTGGTGTACCTGATAGGGAGCTTCATTCGTGGCGCTTGGCGGCGGTGCGCTCAGCTGGGAAGTTCCCTAAGGGCGCCTCGCTCGGGCTGAGACTCAGAGCGGTGGAGGTCATGAGGTCCATCGACCTCGACCCGAGCCCCGCGCTGCTTCGTGCCGCGGTGCAGATGGCGGCCAGTCTCCTCCAGTCGGGGGAGGTCCCGCTGCGGATGTTCGAGTCGGCCGTGCAGGAGGCAGTTCAGAGGCACGCGGGAGCTGCAGCCCCATGGGCGCACTGCCGCACGCCTGTGGATGCCCTGGCCCTATCGCTCACCAGGGTGGGCTGGAGGCTTGTTCAAGGCACCCGCCTCGCAACCGACGACGGCCATCTCCTGGACCTGCGCATGATGGGGCCGCGCGAGCTGGGCCTGCTGGCTGCGGCAGGGGCACGGCGAGCGTCGGACAAGTCGGAGCTGGCCCGCCTCGGCCACGGTGCGCTCCCTCAGTCGCCCCTGTTCTGGGAGGCCTTCGCGGAGGTCCTCGGGCCTGGCAGCAAGCTCAGCCCCAGGGAGAAGGCGGCGGTGGTGAGTTTCCTTTCCAACGCCCACTGGCCCCAGACCCGTCTGCACTCGGCGGGAGAGAGGGAGCACGCTCGCTGCTGTGCCTGTGAGGCCCCCCGCGGCAGCCTCTGGCACAGGCTGTTCGAGTGTCCTGTCCTGGCGGGGCCGAGGCGAGACTCTACATCCGACCGCCTTCGGCGCTGTGCGCATCGTGCACGCGGTCGTGGTGAGGAGGCGGGTGAATGTTTCGCGCGCTGCTGGCTCCCACAGCCCCCGAGGGCCGCCCCGAGGTCGGATGCCATGGCAGTCACGTGGTGCAATCGCCCCGCCGACGGTCTCCTCGGGGGGCGGCTCTACCTGGATGGGTCGGCGCTCGACCCCGAGCACGAGAGCCTGCGGCGTGCGGGCTGGAGCATCGTGCAGTGCGACTCCGACGGCAACATGGAGTGCGCGGTGTACGGCAGCGTGCGCCAGGACCTCTGCCCTTTCCAGACGGCGAAGGACGGCGAGGATTTCGCGGTCTGGATGCTGTCTCGCTTCCTGGGCCCGAGCGTTGACGAGATCCTCATCGATTGTGCGTCCACGGTCAGCTGCCTCACGTTGGGCAAGAAGTACGCGACGGCAGCCAACAAGCCCAACGCCCATCTCTGGGAGGGGATCTACGCCTCGCTGGACGTGGACACGCTCAAGGTGACCAAAGTGGCAGCCCACTGCACCGCCAGTGACGTGTTGGATGGCAAGATCACGGAGGCGGACCTCCGTGGCAACGGACATGCAGACCGCTGGGCCAAGGCGGGGGCGGAGCTGCACCGTACCAGCCCAGTGGCCAGGCGCGAGTTCTTTGGCACGATGGAGGTGGTGAGGGAGCTCTCTTGCTGGGTGGCGCAAGCCTCCCTCATCTGGCAGGGGATCGAGGTCAAGGACTGCGAGGGCCTCCCCGAGGGCAGCGAGCGGGCGGCCGTCTCCTTCGCAGTGCCAGTGGTGGAGCCCGCCAGCAGCCGCCCGTCCGACTCGGGTTCGGGCGACGGGTGGGCATCGGCGGCACGCGCTGGTGGCGTATCCCTCGGTGCGACGGCCTTCGTCGTCGCCGGCCACGTCCTGGCCTACGCCAAGTGCGGGGAGGGCGCCGCCGAGCAGGAGCTGATGGCGTGCACCCACTGCGGGGCGTACGCGCGGCTGGGCGGGCGCTCAGGCGCGGCGCCCAAGCTCACGGAGCAGTGCCCAGGGTCGGCTGGACTTCCCAAGGGCAGGCGAGACCAGAAGGCGCGCTGGCTGCAGGGGCGGCACCCTGCTGGCACGCCCCACAGCGGCAGCAAGCGGGTCGGAGCGTCTGTGCCCAGCTTGCGCAAGGAGGACGTGGTGCCGATGGCCGCTAGGGTGCGCTTCCTGCAGTGGCTGGGTGTCCGCCCCGAGGATGCACCTGGCGGCGTGGCCGCCGACGCCTGCCGCGGGCCCCCCAGCGGTGCGGCGGCCGCAGGTGAGGCGGAGGCTGAGCCGTTGGCGCCTGACCCCTCGGGGGCCTCGAGGGAGGCTTGGCTTGGCGCCTACGGGCTTGACGAGGCGAGCCTCCTCGAGTGGTCAGCCGCAGCAGAGACGGCGCGCGAGGACAGGCGCAGGAAGCGCCGCCGCGCTGATGGTGACGAAGGGGAGTGATGCAGCATCATCTTCCTCCTCCTGTTGTATCCGCCCCTCGTCATCTCTTTTCGGCGCGTGCGTGAGGCAGCATCTTCTGCCCCGCGTCTCAGTTGCAGCGAGGCGGGCATGTTAGGCGTGATTTGCGCCTCAGCCTTGCTGCCTTCTGATTTCTTTGAAATCGTGCGCTTCGCGCATTTGGCGCTTCGCGCCCTCCCCTGTGGCGGCTCCCTTGGCCCCTAGGGTTGGCCCTTGAGGCCCTGGGGCCAACGGGCTCTGTGGGCCTCGGGCTCCTTTTAGCCTTGCCCCGCAGCTCACAGCTCCCTTGGGGCCCCTAGGGTTGGCCCTTGAGGCCCTGGGGCCAACGGGCTCTGTGGGCCTCGGGCTCCTTTTAGCCTTCACAGGCCCCGCAGCTCACAGCTCACACAGGAGTACGGCAGACCCCACATGAGCACGGCAAATCCCAAATGAGCACGGCAGACCACAAGAGCACGGCAGACCACACAGGAGCACGGCAGACTCCACAGGAGCACGGCAGACCACAAAGGAGCACGGCAGACCACACAGGAGCCCGGCAGACGCCACAGGAGCACGGCAGACGCCACAGGAGCACGGCGGAACCCACAGGAGCACGGCAGACCGCGCGCGGGTACAACATAAACGCGCCTTTTTGTTGTACCCCGAACGCCGCTGGCGTTTCCCCAACAGGAGCACGGCAGATCTCACAGGCGCGCGGCAGACCCCAAATGAGCACGGCCGACCACAGGAGCACGGCAGACCCCAAATGAGTACGGCAGACCCCAAAAGAGCACCGTAGACGCCTCAGGAGCACGGCTGACCACACAGGAGCACGGCAGACCACACAGGAGCGCGGCAAACCACAAAGGAGCAAGGCAGACCCCATAGGAGCACGGCAGTCCACACGTTCGCACGGCAGACCGCACAGGAGCACGGCAGACTCCACATGAGCACGGCAGACCAAGAAGGAGCACGGCAGACCACACAGGAGCACGGCAGACCACACAGGAGCACGGCAGACCACACAGGACACGGCAGACCCCACGGGAGCACGGCAGACCACACAGGAGCACGGCAAACCACACAAGAGCACGGCAGACCATACAGGAGCACGCCAGACCACACAGGAGCACGGCAGACCACACGTTCGCACGGCAAACTCCACAGGAGCACGGCAGACCCCAAAGAAGCACGGCAGTGGTACGTGGCACTGCTGTGGTATGCCGTACTAAAAACGTGGAATATCTCATAAGCCCAGGGGACAAAAGGACGCTTCCCGTTCTTGTCCGGTCAGGTTCCCCAAAATGGCCATTTCGCTCGAGACATCCTCGAAAAATCGAGGTGTTGGAGGCTATCGTTTAAGACGTCTTATGTCAAAAATGACGGTTTCGCTCGAGACATCCTCAAAAAATCGGGATGTTGAAAAATATCAAAAATTTTTGTTATGCATGAAAAATGAGCGTTTCGCTCGAGACATCCTCGAAAAAATGAGATGCCGACAGAGGTGTTTTAGAACCTTTTATGTCAAAAAAGACGTTTTCGCTCGGGACGTCCTCAGAAAATGAGCAGGTGGTCTGCCGTGCTCCCGTGTGGAGCACGGCAGACCACGGCCATTTCGCTCGAGACATCCTCAAAAAATCGAGGTGTGGTCTGCCGTGCTCCTGTGTGGTCTGCCTTGCTCCTGGGGGGCAAACCAGCAACACGTCAAGAAGTTACCCAGGGGACCAATCAGCAACACGTCAAGAAGTTATCCTGGGGGGCAAACCAGCAACACGTCAAGAAGTTATCCCGAAGGGGCAAACCAGCAACACGTCAAGAAGGTGCTGAGGGGGGCAAACCAGCAACACGTCAAGAAGTTATCCTGGGGGGCAAACCAGCAACACGTCAAGAAGTTATCCTGGGGGGGCAAACCAGCAACACGTCAAGAAGTTATCCTGAGGGGGCAAACCGTGCTCGTGCTTGGTCTGCCTTGCTCCTGTGGTCTGCCGTGCTCCTCACAGGAGCACGGCAGACCGCGCGTAGGAACCGAGAGGGGCACGGCAGACCAAGACGAGGAGCACGGCGGACCAGGCTTAGGAACCGAGAGGAGCACGGCAGACCAAGACGAGGAGCACGGCAGACCAGGCACCAAGAGCGCCCTCAAGACGACGGAAAGGATGACCAAGACGAGGAGCACGGCAGACCAAGACGAGGAGCACGGCAGACTATGCCCTAAGAGTGCCCTCAAGAACGGCCAACAACGGCAGACCCCATAGGAGCACGGCAGACCACAGAAGAGCACGGCAGACCAACCGGAGCACGGCAGACCACACAAGAGCACGGCAGGCCACACAGGAGCACGGCAGACCACACAGGAGCAGGCAGCCACAAAGGAGCACGGCAGACCACACAGGAGCACGGCAGACGCCACAGGAGCACGGCGGAACCCACAGGAGCACGGCAGACCACAGAAGAGCACGGCAGACCAACAGGAGCACGGCAGACCACACAGGAGCAAGGTCCGTAGCCATTTTGGCTCAAGCCAGGTCGGGCGCGCGCGCGCGCGGGCTCGAGTTCGATGGCGACGGGGAGACGGCCAGATGTTCGGCTGTCTGGAGGGCAACGGCGGGCGCCGCGCGAGCGCCGCCAGGCTCAGCGTTGGGCCGCCCTCTCACGTGAGAGATTGGCGCAGAGGCAGGCAGCGCAGCTCCTGGAGCTGCAGGGCCTGGCCGAGGCGCCTCCGAGCATCCTGCGCCGCCTGGCGCTCGTTGCGCCCGTGCTTATCGCGCAGGAGAAGGGCGAGCAGCTACAGGAGGGCAGGATACTAGAGCGGAACGTCGGCTGCCACGCGCAGGACCTCCCGCGGCCTGGAGCTCCGCGGCGCGCCTGGCGGATCGCCCAGCGCGGCCCGCGGCTCCCGCGCCCGCGGTCGCTCCTGTCTGGGTCGAGGGATTTCCCGACTGGCTCGGCGGTCTCGCACGTCGCTGACGTCGAGGCCGCCCTTCTGGCGGATTCCGCTGCCCGCGCCGCCGTGCACGCGGAGAGCGAGGGCCACGTGGAGCCTAGCGAGTACGTGGACACGCTGCGGCGCGATGCCGACCTCTTCTGGCCGCTTCGGCCCCCGGGACGCTGGGACGACGGCGGAGTGGTGATGAGCGGCACCGAGGAGGTCGGCACGGGACGCACGCCGCTGAGGTCGTCTGCTGAGCCTTTCCTGCTGTCGGGCAGCGTCAGCCAGCGACGGAGCGACGAAGGTGTTTTGTGCTCTTGTGGAGCAGTTCTGTACTCTTCCTGCCGTGCCGCCGCTGGTATTGTGGGTATTGTGCAGGCGGATGATGTGAGCCCTGGAGGTACTGCAGGCCGTGCGCCGCTGCCTCCCGCTACTGCTGCTGACGGAGGTGCCACTGCTGATGTGCCAGGCGCGTCTTGCGACGGCTCCGACGTCGACGACGTTACCCTGGACGGTGAGGCCGACGCGGACACCTCGTGCTCGGTCGGCGAGCCGCCAGGTGCCGACCATGCCGGTACTGCTGCAGCAGCCGCCGCGTACCTCGCCGCCTTCCCGCAGGCCCTCTTCAGCGGGGGCGGTGGCGGCTGGGGCCGCTGCGAGGTCGGGGCAGGGGACTGGTGGCGTGCGAGGGCCGTCGTTGCCCGCGTTTGGCTCACCACAGGTGCTGCGACGGTGCAGGAGAGCGGTGCTGCTGGATCTGCCGCCCCGCCGCCGCCGCTGCCTGACGATCTCTTGCGGGCCGAGTGCCAGATGTCGGGGCGTGCCGCAGGCGCTGTGGCGCCGCCGCTGCTGCGGAGGGTCCGCTTCGCAGATGCCCCGTGCGTGCTCGATATTGGCTGTTGCTCGGGCATGCGTGGTATCCTTCGGCGGGGGAGCGTGCCAGGGTTTCTGGATCCCGCTTGGACGCGCCACGCCAAAGCTGTTGACCTGATGCACATGATCGAAGGCGACTCCTTTGGCCTCACGGTTCCTCCCATGCGGAGGCCGCACCAACTTCGTGCGCGATTCGCGGATGAGTCCCGTCTGGTTGACGCCCTTCCGCCAGGGATGTCCGTTGAGCGTGCCAGAGAGATCGATCGTCTTATCACATTGTGCGGAGGGCAGTAAGCTGTTGTCTCTGAAGCTGCGAGGTCTGTGAGTGAGTCCTTCCTCCTCTCCTCTGCTTGGCTTCCTCTCTCCCGCTTGCATTCGCATTTTTGCATGTGCACGTGGGCATCGTGTGGCACCTGTTGATCTTTGAAGTCCTTTTTTCTTCAGCGTGATCTTCGGTGCAGCTTCGCTGCTTCTGCATGCCTCTCGGCACCGCCCGCCCTCGTGGCCCTGGGGCCTAGGCGCCCCCGTTGGCCCTGGCGGCCTGCCCTCGGGGGGGCCCGTAGCGGCCCCTCGAGAGGGTGTGCTGGAGGTTCGCCCGAAGCGGCCCCTCGGGGAGGGCGGCCCGAAGCGGCCCCCTCCTGCTGGCCCTGGAGGCTCCCGAGAGCCTCGGGCTCGGTCCTCAGTGGACCTCTCCTTTTTTCCAGCCTTTAGAGGCCCCGCCACAACACACCACACAGGAGCAAGGCAAACCACAGGAGCACGGCAGACCACACAGGAGCACGGCAGACCCCACAGTAGCAAGGCAGACCCCAAAGGAGCACGGCAGACCACCGGAGCACGGCAGACCACACAGGAGTACGGTCCGTAGCCATTTTGGCTCAAGCGAGCCTGGCTTACGGCAGGCCCTCGGGCGCGCGGGCGCGCCCGCCAGAGGCCATGGTACACTCCGGGTGCGGAGCGGCTTGGGCGGCTGCGTCTGCCCGCACCCTGGCTCGGCGCTTGCGGCGCGCGCGCCGCCAGGAGCTCGGGCTCAGCAGGGCCGCAGCGCTGGCGCAGCGGACCAAGGTCCTGCGGCGTGCGCTGGCGGCGCACTGGCAGCTCGCCGACGTCCTCGGCGGCTTCGCGCCCTGCCACGGCGACGCCCTGGCAGCTGTGAGGCTGCTCGGCGCCGCGCCTGCAGTGCTGATCGATGCCCAGTTCGACCTCGAGGAGGGCAACTGGGCGCGGCACGCGCCGCCTCCAGGACAAGCTCGTCTGCGGCCCGTCCCCACCGAAGCGCGCCGGGCTGAGGTTGCCGAGGCGGCCTTGGCGCAGACCCAGGTCCTGGGCGCAGTGCCGCTCGCGGCGCCCCTGGCCTTGGAGCGGCCGCCTGGAGTGTGGCACGAGGTCTCCTCGCGCGAGTGGGGCAACGCGCCAGCCGGCGGCGATGCGAAGGAGCCCTCGGCGCTCTCCGACTTCCGCGTCGAGCCGCGCGCCCTTCCGCTGGCCGAGGTGCTGGCGCCTGGTGCGTGGCAGGACTTCGACCTCGTCGCGGCGTCCGCGGGCCAGGTCTTTGCGCAGGGGGTTGCGGCGGGCTGGCGGCTCGCTGTTCTGGAGGCTGGGGCCGCGGGCGAGCACCAGCGGGCCGACCCCTACGACCTGTTGCTGGACGCGCTGGGCATCGAGAGCTGCGACGGCGGGAGCGAGGGCGGCGGCGACGGGGACGACGGCGGCGCCTTCGGGGACCATGCCGTGCCCGCGGCTGGAGAGTCCTCGCCGCTGCTGTTGTCCGTCAGTGGCCGTCTGGGCGAGGCCGTCAGCCACAACGACAGCGACGACGACAGCGCAGGCGGCCCGGGGCAGGAGCATGCCGACGGCGATGCTGCTACTGCCTGCTCCGCCACCGCTGCGTCGGCGCTCAGTGGAGCGATCGCGACCTACCTCGGCGTGAACCCAGCCGCACTCCTCCGTGGAGACGGAGACGGCGGTCGAACTGCCGCGGGATTCGCTGAGCTGGCCGTGCCGACCGAGGACGCTGAGGGCGAAGTGCGGCGATGGCTCGCCGACTGGTCAAAGGTGGCTCACATTTGCTCCCTGCAGGAGCAGCTGGGGGCTGCTAAGAAGGAAGTGCAGCTCCTGCGCTGGAAGGCAGGGTGGCTGGAGATTGACTCCGTCGGGGTGAGGTGCAGGGCAGGCCTGCCGTTCGTCCTCCAAGAGTCTGGGGGCCGCCTCGCCTGGCATGAGTTCTAGGAGCGGGGGCAGGGACTTCGGCGAGGCCCGTTGTGTGTTTCAGCCCCCACGTGAGGTCAGGCCCGTTTGGCTTTGCAATGCGTGTGCTGGCCTCACCTCGAGGTTCGTGAGGCCCTTCGTCACTTGTTGAGAAGGTGGGCCTCGCGTCTCATTTGCAGCGAGGCAGACTTCCTGGCCGTGCTTTGCGTGCCTCAGTCTCCGCTGCTGTCTTGATTTCTTTGAAATCTTGCGCTTCGCGCGTTTGGCGCTTCGCGCCCTCCCCTGCGGAGGCTCCTTCGGGGCCCCTAGGGTTGGCCCTTGAGGCCCTGGGGCCAACGGGCTCCGTGGGCCTCGGGCTCCTTTTAGCCTTCATAGGCCCCGCAGCTCACAGCTCACACAGGAGTACGGTCCGTAGCCATTTTGGCTCAAGGCCATGGCGCACCCGACGACCGCGAGTCCGTCGGGCGTTCTTGAGCGCGAGGGGCGCTCTGCCACGAGCCAGAAGCTTCGCCAATGTTGTTCTTCTTCGTTCCTGCAGGGCCGAGTGTTTCGGCCGAGCTGCTGCCAGTCCCTCGGTGAGCCGCCATGTCGGAGGTTGCCTCGGGGCTGGCTAGGAGGGCGTACTGGTTGTGTGCTAAGCGTGGCTGTAACGCTTGGAATTGGTGTGACAAGCGGTGGACGTGCAAGGCGTGCGGCACCAGTGCTCCCCCATGGACGAAGGAGTACCGCTCCGACAAGGTTCCCCCTCGGGTGGACGCCGACGGGTTCGTGCAGCAGCCCAGGGGAAGAGCTGAGCAGCGCGCGGCGAGGCGCTCGGCCTCCCAGCGGGCCCTCTCAGGGAGCACCGCGCCCAGCAGCGCCCCCAACAGCAGGGCACGGCGAGCGCGGCCCTGGGGAGAGGCCAAGACCCAGTACGAGGAGCTGCAGGCGCAGCTCGCGGCGGCCAAGGAGCGAGTCGACAGGCTCCAGGGGGCCGCGGCGCTCGGGCTCTCAGAGGACTTCCAGCGTGAGGCGGAGAAGGCCCTCCAGCAGGGCAAGGACCAGGTCGCCGCCCTGGAGCGGTCCGTCCAGGAGGCCCAGCGGACGGAGCGCCCGCCCCACTCGGTTCTCCACATTGAGGCCTACGCCATCCAGAAGGTCGAGCGTCAGCTGGCCACGGCACGTACCAAGAGGGAGAAGCTCCAGCTGCAGGCGTCCGAGCTGCGCGAGCTCATCGCGGAGAAGCAGGAGCAGCTATCGGCAGCCGAGTTGGGAGTTGATGAAGTCACTGGGCAGATTGCTGAGCTGGAAGAGACCAGGGCCAAGGTCACGCAGCAGGCGATCCAGAGGGCCAACGCAGCTGTCGGAGGAGTGCCGAGCCCGCTTGGGGACGCCGTCCAGGGGTTGCTCACTCAGGTTGGCGCCCTGTCGGATCTCCTCAAGCAGCACGGAGCCGAGCTGCCTCCCAGGTTTTCGGAGATCGTCGAGATTCTCAACACGCAGAAGGAAGCGGTCGCTGATGTGCTCAGGCCCCGTAGCAGCTCGGCCAGGAAGCGCTGGGGCGACAGCGTCGGTGACGACGGCCTCGCGACTGAGGATGACGACATGCCGCTCGACATCGTGGCCTCAGGTGGGCCTGCGGCTGCCCCTCCCGCTGGCGCCCCGCAGGCAGGGCCGACCGCGGCTGGGCCTCCAGCCCCGCGGGCCAGGCCGGCGGACGGACCCTACGGCCCTGCAGCGGCCCGCGGCCAGCACGGAGCGACCCTGGGCGCGTGGCCCCAGGTGGAGCCCTGCCTCGCCAAGGCCCTCGCCGAGCAAGGGGCGGCCCTCTCGGACGGCGACCCCTTGGTGGCTGCGGCTGCTGTCGTTGCTCCTGCTGCTGGGTACGGGCCGCGCCGTGGGTGATGCAGGAGCGTTGGAGTGGCAAGCCTCCACAGTGCGCGGGCCCAGCTGCTGGGACAGGTGGAGGAGGCGCTGTGACGGCCGCTGGCGCGTCCGCGCCCCTCGCAGGCGGCGGGCGGCGCCGAGCACCCTTGCCCGAGGTAGCCAGCTGGCGCGGTCGGGAACACCGAGGTGGCCCCCCGACGGCCAGTCAGGGGCCGAGAGCGGTGGGATTCAGCCCCACGACGTCGCAGCTCTCGGCCCCGGTGGTGATGGGCAGGCGCACCCCCCGCTGGCAACCGGAGGGGCGGACGGACGGCCACCTCCTCAGCGACGGCCACCTCCCGTGCTGGCGAGCGGCCCGCCGACGCCGTTGAGGAGCGCTGGAGCGAGGGGCCAGGTCCCCCCTCCAGTCCTGGTGGGGGCGGAGGGTCCCGCGACCAGGGGCACGGCGGGCATGGGGTCTGGCGCTGATGAGCGCGCCGCTCGCGAGGCAGCCGTCATCGGCAAGGCGCCGCTGGTTGACAGGGCAGGAGGCCAGCAGCTCCGAGCTGGCCTCGTCATGCTCGGCTGCAATGGCAATACTTGGAGCAGGAGCATTGAGGCCATTGAAGCCTTCTTCAAGGCGTACGACTACTGGCCCGACGTAGTGGCGCTGCAGGAGACGAGGCTCCCGCATGGCTTCCCCCGCCTTCGGCACTACTGGTGCGGTGTTGGCTGGGTGTGCGTGTGCGGCAGCAGTCGCGAAGCTCCCAGTGCTGGGCGCCCTCCTGGCCGCGGGGGCGACGTGCCCGTTGGTCACGCCGAGGAATGTTGTCGACGACATCTCGCTCCAGGCGGTCGGCACGGCCCGACTCGTGAAGCAGCAGATGTTGGCCTCCAGCTGTGAAGTGGTCCGCCAGCTGCGTGAGCAGCACCTCCCACTCAACGAGAGTAAGTCGGTCTTCCTGGCCTCGTCGCCGCAGCTCGCCAAGGAGCTCTCCGAGGCGTGGGCAGCACAGGGCTTGACCTTCAAGAGGGGACTTCAGGCGAGGAACCTCGGCACCGACGCCAACATCACTCGTCGTGGAGTGCATGAAGGTGCTGTGCGTGCGGTCGGCGGCCTTCGGCGAGGACGCAGGCTAGGGGTGCTTCGCTCAGCTGGTGCGGCGACCGAGATGGTCCACCGTGCTGGGCCCACCGCGGCGATGCTGTGGGGGCGCACGGTGACTGGTGTACCTGATAGGGAGCTTCATTCGTGGCGCTTGGCGGCGGTGCGCTCGGCTGGGAAGTTCCCTAAGGGCGCCTCACTTGGGCTGAGACTCAGAGCGGTGGAGGTCATGAGGTCCATCGACCTCGACCCGAGCCCCGCGCTGCTTCGTGCCGCTGTGCAGATGGCGGCCAGCCTCCTTCAGTCGGGGGAGGTCCCGCAGCGCATGTTCGAGACGGCCTTGCAGGAGGCGGAGCGGAGGCACGCGGGAGCAGCAGCCCCATGGGCGCACTGCCGTACGCCTGTGGATGCCTTGGCCCTCTCGCTCACCAGGGTAGGCTGGAGGCTCGTCCAAGGCACCCGCCTCGCCACCGACGACGGCCACATCCTGGACCTGCGCATGATGGGGCCGCGCGAGCTGGGCCTGCTGGCAGCGGCAGGGGCGCGGCGTGCGTCGGACAAGTCGGAGCTGGCCCGCCTCGGCCACGGTGCGCTCCCCCCGTCGCCCCTGTTCTTCAACCTCAGGCTGCTGCGCGGCCTCCTCACCTCCTACCAGGCCCCTAGGATGATCCTCGCGGCGGGCATGGGAGGCCTTCGCGGAGGTCCTCGGGCCTGGCAGCAAGCTCAGCCCCAGGGAGAAGGCGGCGGTGGTGAGTTTCCTTTCCAACGCCCACTGGCCCCAGACCCGTCTGCACTCGGCGGGGGAGAGGGAGCACGCTCGCTGCTGCGCTTGCGATGCCCCCCGCGGCAGCCTCTGGCACAGGCTGTTCGAGTGTCCTGTCCTTGCGGGGCCGAGGCGCGACTCTACCTCCGACCGCCTTCGGCGCTGCGCACATCGTGCACGTGGCCGTGGTGAGGAGGCGGGGGAATGCTTCGCGCGCTGCTGGCTCCCACAGCCCCCGAGGGCCGCCCCGAGGTCGGATGCCATGGCGGTCATGTGGTGCAATCGCCCCGCCGACGGTCTCCTCGGGGGGCGCCTCTACCTGGATGGGTCGGCGCTCGACCCCGAGCACGAGAGCCTACGGCGTGCGGGTTGGAGCATCGTGCAGTGCGACTCCGACGGCAACATGGAGTGCGCGGTGTACGGCAGCGTGCGCCAAGACCTCTGCCCTTTCCAGACGGCGAAGGACGGCGAGGATTTCGCGGTCTGGATGCTGTCTCGCTTCCTGGGCCCGAGCGTGGACGAGATCCTCATCGATTGTGCGTCTACGGTCAGCTGCCTCACGTTGGGCAAGAGGTACGCGACGGCAGCCAACAAGCCCAACGCCCATCTCTGGGAGGGGATCTACGCTTCGCTGGACGTGGACATGCTCAAGGTGACCAAAGTGGCAGCCCACTGCACCGCCAGAGACGTGATGGATGGCAAGATCACGGAGGCGGACCTCCGCGGCAACGGACATGCAGACCGCTGGGCCAAGGCGGGTGCGGAGCTGCACCGCGCCAGCCCCGTGGCCAGGCGCGAGTTCTTCGGCACGATGGAGGTGGTGAGGGAGCTCTCATGCTGGGTGGCGCAAGCCTCCCTCATCTGGCAGGGGATCGAGGTCAAGGACTGCGAGGGCCTACCCGAGGGCAGCGAGCGGACGGCTGTCTCCTTCGCCGTGCCCGTGGTGGAGCCCGCCAGCAGCCGCCCGTCCGACTCGGGTTCGGGCGACGGGTGGGCCTCGGCGGCACGCGCTGGTGGCGTATCCCTCGGTGCGACGGCCTTCGTCGTCGCCGGCCACGTCCTGGCCTTCGCCAAGTGCGGGGAGGGCGCCGCCGAGCAGGAGCTGATGGCGTGCACCCACTGCGGGGCGTACGCGCGGCTGGGCGGGCGCTCAGGCGCGGCGCCCAAGCTCAAGGAGCAATGCCCAGGGTCTGCTGGGCTTCCCAAGGGCAGGCGAGACCAGAAGGCGCGCTGGCTGCAGGGGCGGCATCCTGCTGGCACGCCCCACAGCGGCAGCAAGCGGGTCGGCGCGTCAGTGCCCAGCCTGCGCAAGGAGGACGTGGTGCCGGTGGACGCCAGGGTGCGCTTCCTGCAGTGGCTGGGGGTCCGCCCCGAGGATGCACCTGGCGGCGTGGCCGCCGACGCCAGCCGCGGGCCCCCCAGCGGCGCGGCGGCCGCTGGCGAGGCGGCGGCGGAGCCGTTGGCGCCTGGCCCCTCGGGGGCCTCGAGGGAGGCATGGCTGAGCGCCTACGGACTTGACGAGGCGAGCCTCCTCGAGTGGTCAGCCTCGGCTGAGACGGCGCGCGAGGACAGGCGCAAGAGGCGCCGCCGTGCTGATGGTGACGAGGGGGAGTGATGCAGCATCATCTTCCTCCTCCTGTTGTGTCCGCCCCTCGTCATCTTCTTTCTGTGAGTGCGTGAGGCAGCATCTTCTGCCCCGCGTCTCAGTTGCAGCGAGGCGGGCATGTTAGGCGTGCTTTGCGCGCCTCAGCCCCTGCTGCCTTCCTGATTTCTTTGAAATCGTGCGCTTCGCGCATCTGGCGCTTCGCGCCCTCCCCTGCGGCGGCTCCTTAGGGGCCCCTAGGGTTGGCCCTTGAGGCCCTGGGGCCAACGGGCTCCGCGGGCCTCGGGCTCCTTTTAGCCTTCATAGGCCCCGCAGCTCACAGCTCACACAGGAGTACGGCAGACCCCACATGAGCACGGCAAATCCCAAATGAGCACGGCAGACCACAAGAGCACGGCAGACCACACAGGAGCACGGCAGACTCCACAGGAGCACGGCAGACCACAAAGGAGCACGGCAGACCACACAGGAGCCCGGCAGACGCCACAGGAGCACGGCAGACGCCACAGGAGCACGGCGGAACCCACAGGAGCACGGCAGACCGCGCGCGGGTACAACATAAACGCGCCTTTTTGTTGTACCCCGAACGCCGCTGGCGTTTCCCCAACAGGAGCACGGCAGATCTCACAGGCGCGCGGCAGACCCCAAATGAGCACGGCCGACCACAGGAGCACGGCAGACCCCAAATGAGTACGGCAGACCCCAAAAGAGCACCGTAGACGCCTCAGGAGCACGGCTGACCACACAGGAGCACGGCAGCCTGGGCCGGTTCCGGCGCCGGCCGGCGCCGGAAAATTGAATTCCGAGGCGGTGCCGAAAAAAGGCCACTCCAAGACATATTTTTCTTTCGAAAATATTGATTTTCTGCTCCCGGCGCCCGGGAACCCCTTCCGGGCCGCTTCTGGCACCCGGGCCGGCGCTCGAGCCAAACGCCCGGGCCAGCACCCGGGCCAGCGCCCGGGCCGGTTCCGGCGCCGGCCGGCGCCGGAAAATTGAATTCCGAGGCGGTGCCGAAAAAAGGCCACTCCAAGACATATTTTTCTTTCGAAAATATTGATTTTCTGCTCCCGGCGCCCTGGAACCCCTTCCGGGCCGATTCCGGCACCCAGGCCGGCGCTCGAACCGAACGCCCGGGCCGGCACCTGGGCTGGCGGCCGACGCGCGATGCGCTGCCACAAGCCAGCTTCCCGCAAGATCGGTCCAGAGTGGGAGGGGACGGAGCTGGGCGGGTGAAGGACCACCAGAGCACTGCTCCAGCCTTCCCTCAGCCCTGGGTCTGCTGACCACACAGGAGCACGGCAGACCACACAGGAGCGCGGCAAACCACAAAGGAGCAAGGCAGACCCCAAATGAGCACGGCAGTCCACACGTTCGCACGGCAGACCGCACAGGAGCACGGCAGACCGCACATGAGCACGGCAGACCAAGAAGGAGCACGGCAGACCACACAGGAACACGGCAGACCACACAGGAGCACGGCAGACCACACAGGACACGGCAGACCCCACGGGAGCACGGCAGACCACACAGGAGCACGGCAAACCACACAAGAGCACGGCAGACCATACAGGAGCACGCCAGACCACACAGGAGCACGGCAGACCACACGTTCGCACGGCAAACTCCACAGGAGCACGGCAGACCCCAAAGGAGCACGGCAGTGGTACGTGGCACTGCTGTGGTATGCCGTACTAAAAACGTGGAATATCTCATAAGCCCAGGGGACAAAAGCACGCTTCCCGTTCTTGTCCGGTCAGGTTTTTGAAAAATGACGATTTCTCTCGAGACATCCTCCAAAAATCGGCCCAAGAGGGGACTCCGCCTCGACGTCGTGTTCGAATCGCTCTTGGAGTGTTTTCCAACGGCCCAGGGGACGCCCAAAAGACACCCTGGAGAGCCCCAGGAGCGCCCAAGAGCGCCCCAAGAAGACCCCAAGAGACCCACAAAAGCGCTCTAGGAACCACCCATACAGCTCACAAGAACCCCAAGACGGCCCCAAAAAGGGCCAAGAAGGCCCTAAGAGACTCCCGGGAACGTCCCAGGAGGCCCCCAGCGCCGAGACGGCTTAAGAAAGCTCCCACGGAACCCCACGACGCGCCCAGACAGCCCAAGAAGACCCCAGAAGCCCATAAGAGGACCCAGGGGGCCCCCAAGCAGCCCCCAACAGGCCCCAAGAGAACCCCGCGCGGCGCCAGGAGCAACGTATTTCTCCAATTGCCTCGCACTGTTCTCTGTCGTCGTCGTCGTCGTCGTCGTCGTCGTCGTCGTCGTCGTTGTCGTCGTCATCATCATCGCCCTCCGCATTCCTCCTCGTGCTCGCCCTCGTTCTCTTCGTCCTCGTCTTTGTGCTTCTCTTCCTCCTCGTTGTCCTCCTGCTCCTCCTTGCTATCCTCACGTTCGCCACGTCGTCCTCGTCATCGGCTCCTCGTTGTCCTCGCCTTCCTTTTCTTCTTCGCCCAATACGCCCATTTGACTACAGCGGCGCTTCCCGTTCTTGTCCGATCAGGTTTCTCCAGGGGCGCGAATCCGTGTGTTTTAACGTATGTGCCTACAGATTTGCCTTATGGGGCGCGATGCACATATCGCACCGTGCGCCCACGTCACTCGGTCATGAATTGGCTCGATACTCTCTCCTTTTGACGCAGCGCGGGAAACTGGTGTTTTTGGACTCCTCTGGGGACTTGTTTTGAGTGGATTCCGGGGTACGGCAGATTCGGGTCGATTCGACGCGGCGGCGACACCCGCGCGGGCGTTCGAGGTTGAACGTGGAACCTGGGCGCCCCAGAGATTGGCACATTTCCAGGGGCACGACGTAGGCGCTTATAGATGTGCCTTATGGAGCGCGATGCACATATCGCACCGCGTGCCCACGCCACTCGGTCATGGCTGGACACTCTCTCCTTTTGACGCAGCGCGGGAACCTGGGAGGAGGAGGAGGAGGAGGAGGAGGAGGAGAAAGAAGAGGAGGAGGAGGAGGAGGAGAGGAGGAGGACAGGACGAGGACGAGGACGAGCTGGAGGAGGAGGAGGAGGAGGAGGAGAGAGGAGGAGGAGGAGGAGGAGGAGGAGGGAGGAGGAGAGGAGGAGGAGGGAGGAGGAGGGAGGGAGGAGGAGGAGGGGGGAGGAGGAGGAGGGAGGAGGAGCAGGAGGAGGAGGAGGAGGAGGAGGAGGAGGAGGGAGGAGGAGGAGGAGGGAGGGGGAGGAGGAAGAGGAGGAAGAGCGGAGGAGGAGGAGGGAGGAGGAGGAGGAGGAGGAGGGGAGGAGGAAGAGTAGGGGGAGTGGGAGGGAGGGGGAGGAGGAGGGGGAGGGGAGGAGGATGAGGAGGAGAGGAGGAGGAGGGAGGGAGGGAGGAGGAGGAGGGGAGGAGGAGGAGGAGAAGGAGAGGAGGAGGAGGAGGAAGAGGAGGAGGAGGGGAGGGGAGGGGGAGGGGGAGAGGGAGGAGAGGAGGAGGAGGAGGAGGAGGAGAGGAGGAGGAGAGGGAGGAAGAGGGAGGGGAAAGGAGGGATAGGAAAAGGAGGAGGAGGGAGGAGGAGGAGGGAGGAGGAGGAAGAGGAAGAGGAAGAGGAAGAGGAGGAGGAGGAGGAAGAGGAGGAGGAGGAGGAGGAGGAGGAGGAGGAGGAGGAGGAGGAAGAGGAAGAGAACCCCACAGGGAACTCAAACGACGAACTCAATACGGTGTCGTGAAAACGTTTCCATGCATGCGGTTCTATATATGCGTTTCCACGACCACACCCCAACACGACCACACCCCAGCACGACCACACCCCAGCACGACCCCACCCCAGCACGTCCCCACCCCAGCACGACCAACCCCAGCACGACCACACCCAGCACTACCCCACCCCAGCACGTCCCCACCCCAGCAAGACCATCACCCAGCACGACCACACCCCAGCACGACCTCACCACAGCACGACCACACCCAGCACGACCACGCCCCAGCACGACCACGCCCCAGCACGACCACGCCCCTGCACGATCACCCCCCAGCACGACTACCCCCCCAGCACGACCGCCCCCCAGCACGACCACGCCCCAGCACGACCACACCCCAGCACGACCACTCCCCAGCACGACCACACCGCATTGGTTGAGTGGTTGCCTGTCGTCATGGGATGTTTCGTGGGGTGTCTCGTGGACTGTTTCGCGGGGTGTCTCGTGGAATGTTTCCAGGGAAACGTTGAAAACGGTCGCCCGTGTCTCGTGGAATGTGCGGGGTGTCTCGTGGAAGTGCCCGTCCCCCAGTACGGTGTCGCGAAAACGTTTCCATGCATGCGGTTCTATATCCCTTTCCGGGTTCGTGGGTCCATCATGTTCATTGTGTCTCTCTCTCTCTGTCTCTCTGTCTCTTTCTCTCTCTCTCTCTCGCCCTCTCTCTCTCTCTCTCTCTCTTTCTCCCTCTCTACCAGTGGCCCCCTCCACCACAATGATGATCGCGATTACGATGAGATCCCACCATCTACCTATCCGTCGACCGACCTATCGGTGAATATATTGATGGATTGGGTTGGGTGGATTGGATGGGATAGGATGGATTGGATAAGATCAGATGGGTTGGATTGGAAGAAACGGTTTTGATAAAATCAGATTGATTGGATTGGCCCGCCGCAGGCGCAGAAAAGAATGAATCGATGGATTGGGTTGGGATTGGGTGGGATAAGATGAGATGGGGCAAGATGGGTTGGATAAGATATGATGGATTGGATTGGACAAGATGGATTGGATAAGATAAGCTGGATTGGACGAGAAAGCCCGCCGCAGGCGCCGAAAACAAATACTTGCGCAATTAGCGACATGCGTTAGCGCCAGGACGCCCGGGACACCCGGGACACCGCCCGGCCCAACTGGGACACTTCGCGGCCACCGGCGGGCGGGAAACGGACTTTCGTTCCTACCGACACCCGGAACACCCGGGACACCGCCCGGCCCAACCGGGACACCTCCCGGCCATTGGCCGCTGGAAACGGACTTTATCTCCGACTTCGGCCTAGCTACAGGAGGATCACGCGCAGC